CACAGCAGAGATTATAGAGCATGAGCTAGTTTCCAAAATTTACACTGGTGCTTCTTATTCCCATAGCCGAAAAAGCTTAAAGACTGTCAAATACCGGAACCAGCCTTCTGCCTATTTCATCATGATAGTATGAATTTCAGCAAGTATAAGTGCCAAACTGATACTGATGATTTTAGTTGGTCTTCTAACAATTAGGAGTTTTGAAACATGTACAGTATATTTATGTTTGATAGGGGATCTGATATTATTTGATAATTATACAAAAAACATCATACACATATTTTATGCTTTTCTTTAGATTTTAATTGTCATTCTAGTAAAGTTTAGTGATCTTACATTATAAAGGGTGGGGGGGGGTTAAAGTAGGTTAAACTTGTTAGATCGTTTTGATATATGAATATCTGTGTTATATACGGTGTAAATTAATATACAGTATATGTGTGAAATATATGTATGTGTATATATATATATATATATGTATATATATTTTATTTTTTTGTAGTTTCAGACCTATTTTCATGCATTGTATAAGTGACGATATGCTAACCATTTTATCTTCTATAATGATGTTGATTTACCACAGGTGTTTTAGATTGATCTATGTATAAAGGAATTCCTCCACCTGGTAACTTCTACTCTAAAAGTAAGCTCATAATGAGTGGAACATGTTAGAGGGCAGAGTTCAGGCAGTTATTGGATCGCCTAATAAGTCTCACTAACTGCTTTTATCCTGGAGTGTGGTTACTTCTTCTCACCCTTGGTAGACTCTTTCTGACTCTAGACCTGCTTGTTGCATGTTTATTGCCCCAAAAGAGACTCTATCCTCTTATTTGTGTCTAATCCATATTACTGATTTCTTTAATTTACTCCCATATTTTTTCCTACATACAAACTGTGTTTGGTACTTGTGCCACTATGGATTTGAAAGCAATGGTTTTATTACCACATCTATGCCTGTAATTCACAAAATGTGCCACAATGTTTCCACAATTTGTTGTATTTGTACAATTAAGTTTTTATCAGCTCTTCCAAGCTATGCCTTCCTTCTACAACATTTATCAAAACTGTTTAAAAAAACAAAACAGTTAAAACAAAATGTGCAGCCGGTTTTGCAGACTATCCTAAATATGCAACACTTTTTTAGGGATAGCATCTTAGCATGGTGGGAAAATGTATATTGTGTATGTGTGTATATATGTATGTGTATATGTATGTATGTATATGTGTATATATATA